TTTGATCTTTTTCCTTTCTTTCTTCGTGACTATTTTATCCTTTCTTTTTTCTTTCTTTCTTTCTTTCTTTCTTTCTTTCTTTTTTTTTTCTTTCTTTCTTTCTTCGTGACTATTATATCCTCTTTCTTTCTTTCTTCGTGGCTATTTTATCCTCTTTCTTTCTTTGTGAATATTTTATCCCTTTTCTTTCTTTGTGTTTATTTTTTCTTTTTTTCATTCTTCGTTACTATTTTATCCTCTTTCTTTCTTTCTTTCTTTCTTTCTTTCTTTCTTTCTGATATTTTATTCTCTTTCTTTCTTTTTCTTTGTGATTATTTTACCCTCTTTCTTTTTTTCGTGACTATTTTATCATCTTTCTTCAGAGAAGCATTTCTTTCTATCATTCTCGTCCTCTCTCTTTTGCTATCTACAAAGTCTGATCCCTTCCAACTCAACTCCCTACCCCTGTTTCCGAACAAAATGAATGTAATTCAGAAAAGTATTTATTTCTAATGCTAAAATCATTCAGAGCCTAGGTGATCATGATTTCTACTCAGAGTCGTTTTCTCTCATAAGTGTCAATAACCATTACTTCTTGCCAAAGATAGTGAAGTGGTTTCCCCTTGACATTTATATTTTCTTCAATTCAGAGGAATCCTTCTTTTAGACAGACTGTCACCCAAAGTCATAGAGTGGCCAGTTACCCTAGCATCCTAGCTAGAGAGGGAAAGAAATGGATTCGTACCTTTCCCAACGACATTAAATATCCTCTAAACTTTTCAAAGGAATTCCATGCATGACATTCAACTCATTCAGAAATCTCTAAACTATTATCACGCAAAAGTTTACAACACATTACAAAAAATGTTTCTTTAGGTATTTTTAATACAGATTAATGGACCTTTTACTGCTAGTCTTACTTATTATAAAACGCAGATTGTGTGTGTGTGTGTCTGTACGTTTATATATTGGATCGGATTTCCTACATTTTTCAACCGATTTCAACAAAACTTCACAGGACTACATAAAATTACCTTGCAGTGGTTCTGACAGCGCCAAAAATTGGGAAAACACAATTTTTTTTGCACGAAATCAATTGGAAAACACGATTAAGAGGCATTGCGAGAATAAAAGGGGATAACTCATATCGAGTTATACTTATTATAAAACCCAGGTTGTTTGTGTGTGTGTGTGTGTGTGTTCCTTTATATATGGGATCGGATTTCCTACATTTTTCAACCGATTTCAACAAAACTTCACTTTTTTTGGCAGGTAGTGTTTCTTATTGTCTTGCACACTTTTTTCTTTATTTTTACATTCAGAATGATTTAAAAATTACATTTACAAGGCAATTGTTTATAATAAAATTCTATTCAATCGATTGACTCATAACGATTGAAAACAATGTTTTTGTTTGAGTTTGGGTTTGACCAATTCGTAAAAAAAAAAAAAAAAAAACTCATTAAGACATTACTATTTCTGTTCTGGCCGTATTGAATTTTATAGGTCAATCCTTCCCCCGTTGAGCCCCCTGGTCAAGGTCGGAGGAGAGATGAACTGCTAGGTTCTGGTCTTTCTAAACTTGTCAAAGAGCACCTATAAAAAATTGAACCATGTGCATAGGAAGAATCAGAACGGCCATTTTTATCACAAATGCATGCAGACATGCAAAACGCATGTACAAAACACGCAGCTCGTAACTATCTACCTACTTCATCAATCGAAGTAATCATAGACTCCACAGACGCCCACAGAAGTTAATTTAGCTCTCCCAATAATTTTCTATGGCTCTATAGTAGTGTATTTGTCCAGGGCAAGATACTGTTTTAAATTCAGACTTTTCTTTCTCTTAGACTGGTTGCCAGTCAAAACTACACAACCCAGGCTGCTCTGTTATTTAACTCATAGCTGTAGTAAGAAATGGATTCATAGATTCCTCAAGAGTATTTGTGCAAAAAATAAATTTATTAAACTCGACACCTCAATTCCTCATTTCGAGTCACTAAACACTACACCACCTGCATATGTGATACCATTATATACCATACACAAAAATATCTAACGAATAGTTAGTCGGCGAATAAGACTATTTTAAAAAGCTCAACAGAAATAAATTTAGAATTGACCTAACTGGCGAATTTGGGTTATTTCTCAAAATATGTTGAGACAATCTTGTTTGCTAATGAGAAGAAAGTCAGTTCCAAATTTCTTGGCTCCCGTCTTTCAAGCCTGATTAGTTACTAAGGAGTAAATCTGACAAACTTCCTCATAAAATACTCTCAGAGCACGCACACACACACACACACACACACACACACACACACACACTATATCGTCAAACCAGCTAAAAATGGAGTATTGCGGCCATATCGAGATAGACGCTGTCCAGTCCTCACTTTCCAGCATTGACAGAAATCAGAAGCGTTTACACGGCCTTTTAGGTGATGAATTATCCCCCATCTTACTAACACTTTCCCACAGACGGTACATCGCAAGCCCCATGTTCGCTTATCGTTGCATCCGTGAAGACAGTTCGGACGATCCGCATTTCGTAGTTCAACCAAATTTACAGCTAAGACCTTAACCCTTGCCATGTACACAGGCTTGAGTTACCCACATTCCCTTCGTGTATCATTGGTAAGAAGAAAGTTCCACTCAGAAAGCCTATCCATAAAAAAAAAACCCGCCATTTTATAGAACAGATTTCCGAGAGGATGAGTCCCCGTCCACGAGAAACTTAACTTCATCAACTTTAGGATCAACTTTTATATATCCTACCTATAAGCTACAATTCATACGGCCATAAAATAAGCCTATTCAGTAACCCTCTACTTTGAGTGGCTCTTGAGGTTTCTGAAAAATAACGTAAAACAATAAACGTCGTCCATACCGCAATGAAATTTGTTGTTTAAGCATTTCATATTCGTAAGTTTCATGGGAAAGTCAAAAAGAAAGCTTAATGAATTAACAGACTCTGAAAACATGAAAAAGGAGTTAAAGTAAACCTCAAGGACACATGGCACAGTGGATAAAGGCGTTGGTTAGATTCAGTGACAGGACCCAAAAGTGTTTGAGTTCAATACCCGGTTAAGGCACTGGAGAACTTTCAGAGGGAAAATTAACAGGAGATAACTGATAACTGACATCCATAAAACATGGCAAGTGGAACTAGAACAGTCTACCCCAGTGAGCGAAATAAAGGGTTCAGTTCGAAATTCCAACCACCTGCAGAAGGCCGGAGCGTACAACGGCCGAAGCGTTGTAATATATATATGGTGACAAAGATGAGGACAATAGTCCGAATAATGTAAATAATGTGCATAATACCTCATCTCAGAAATATAGACAGACTGTGAGTTAAAGTAAATATAAAATGTACAGTTGTTAGCAAAAGGGAAACAGGTGGAAATCGCACAATGGTGACGTCTCTGAAAGCAATAAATTAAATGATTCTGTGAAGAGTTATGATCGCCCAACACGCACCCCATATATATATATATATATATATATATATAAACAAGATTTTTAAACCCACAGTCGAAAACCACCCCATGATTTCTTGGGGATTATTAATGAGCCGAGTTCGAATTCCAGTTGAATCCATTACATTCACTTACGTGCTAATACCCTTGGGAAAGATATGAATCCTCTTCCTCTCCCTCCAGCTATGGGTAAAATAGCAGGACAGACTGGGTTCTATAGCCTTGGATGGCAACTGGTCTAGGAGAAGGACAACTCTGAATTCAAAACCTGTGGAGGGTTGTTTGGGAACTTTGTGGCATTCGGTGCACCAGGTCTCTGTATTCGTCCCTTCAAAAAGTGTGGTTGGTCCTGCACGAAACCTTCACCACTATAATCAAATCTCATGTGCCGGTGTCGGGCTGTCGGTTTCCTGTAAACTGATCTGCTTGACCCTCATACGTCGAATCTCGACGGAGAGTAGACTATATATATATATATATATATATATATATATATATATATATATATATATATATATATATATATATATATATATATATATATATATAATGAAATGGACAAAGTCCAACAATTAATTAAGACATTTTTTATGTTTATACGTTCTTTTTTATAGATACAAATATTAAAGTAAATGGTCTGTTTATAATAACCGAACGCTCCTCTGTGGTCCAAACGGTGAAGGCACGTCAGGCTATATGACGGTTCCGTATAGGAGACAGGTTCGATTCCTGTCGGAGGGCGCATATTTTCTATGAAAATTTCTCGGTCATTCAGGCCGGTAAATATTATTAATACTGTTTGTTATAAACAGAGCATTTACTTAAATATTTGTATTTATAAAAAGAACGTATGAACATAAAAAAAAAATATATATATATATATATATATATATATATATATATATATATATATATATATATATATATATATATATATATCACATACAAAAGCTCTACAAAGATATATATATATATATATATATATATATATAGAGAGAGAGAGAGAGAGAAGGGAGAGAGGGGAGAGAGACAGATATATTTTCGTATAATATACTGGATGATTGAAAAGTAAAGCCCCATTTGAAAATACTTATAATTTATTTATTAAGCTTGTTTTTTTTACAAGAAATGAATATAAGAGGTAAGCGTTTTACATGAGGTTTTATTTAAAATTCTATATTGGCACCAGATTTGGCTATCAGCTTCTCAAGCCACCCAGGAATCACGTCAACTGATTTCCCCAGGAACTCTTGTGGTATCAAAGACATCATATAAAAGATCTCCCTGAAGTTCTCCAAGAGTCTTATTTTCTATAGTAGACTTGTACGTTTAACCAGCCCCAAAGAATAAGTCACAGGGTTTTAAATCAGGACTCCTGCCTGGCCGTTGTTACATACAATAAGAGTTTCTTTTCAATCAACTGTAAATAAAGAAAAAGCAGAGAGAATTTTTGCTGTAATTCTTTAGTTTCTGTAGAAGCGTCTAATATGGCGGTGAACATAGATTGTAGAAGCATCCATTTTCTTTATTGATTCAATGAAATAATTCAATCGCTGAGAATATGAAGCTCTCTGCCCTACCAGCATGTTGGGCAATGTTTAATATTGTAACGTTTCCATCAATGTGATCTTCGGACATAATCATGTCCTGAATATTGAAGATGGGTCGGCAAAACTGTATTCTCGCCTCGGATTCTACTTATCCCTCATGAGCAAATATGTTTAGCATACGAAGCTGCAATTCAACTCAATAAATATCTTCTCGATTGTTTATATATTTTATTTATTTACATCTTTATTTCCAACTGAAAAGAGGTGTTTAAGTGTGATGGGAACACTTATTATGAAAAAAGATCAAAAAAAAAAAAAAAACAAGAAATCAATACTTGTTAAAACTAATTCTGAACACAGCCACGATATACTGACCTTATCTGAAACTTAAGAATAGGTTTAATTTCTACAACTTTTATACGTCTACGATAACCT